GTTCATATTTGTCTAATATTAGTTTACTTTTCATTAATGAAGTATGACGCTGCGCTGTCAGTACACTAGTCCCCATTTGTGATTTGTCAAATGTAGCTAACCCCGCCCCTTTCACACAACGCGCTCTCAGCTGGAGAGAGAAACACTGGCTTGATTTACCGAGTTGATAACCAGCGTCGTAGGACCGCTTAGCGAGATCTTGTTTGTTAGGGTTAGTTAAGATAACTCAAACATATCCAGGGTCTGTTGAACTGGCTTCGTAGTACAGGGCACAGGTGGCTGCATAGCAGCGCTAATGTCAAAGACACAAACATTTTACATTATATTTTTATTTTACCAGGATGCAGTGACAAAAATATTTGGGAAGGCTTAGCCTTCCCTAGCCTACAGTACCCACCGCCCCTGGGGGACATGTCCCCCCCACTTTTCGCAATCCCGTTTGTGTCCCCCCACTTTACAAATTTTTTTTTTTTTTTTTAACGCAAGCCGCCATCGCCACGGAGGAGCACACAGCCTTTGTGTGTGTGTGTGTGTGTGTGTGAGAGAGAGAGACTCCATCCATTTAATATATCGTTAATATATAGTTGTGAAAAATAAAGTAAGAAATCATTCCAATGTGTATTGTACTGTTATAGGCCAGTAAAAAAAATTTTTTTTAAAAGGGGAGTGATTTGTAAAATATGCATAAAGAAAGAATACTAACTAGGTAACATAAGATAAGAATAAACAAGTTTAAATGATTTGTTATTGGTTGTGATAATACTCTAAAGATGTTTGGATTATTGAAAAATATACAGTTCCCTTTCATATGAGTGTTGAGAGCTGTATCCATACATTTATTTTGTGCTCAAAGTGCACCAGATTGAGGCATTTCACTTCAACATTTAAAAACACATCTTCCCGGGGGTGCATGCCCCCGGACCCCCCCCCCCCCCCCAAATAAAGCAGATTAAAATAATTAAATTGAATACATTTTATTTGAGTAAACACTGAAAATGGGTCCCACAGACCCAAACAGCACACAAAGGTTAAAGGTCAGCTTATCATAATGTTAAAATGTGCTAAATATATACACTGCAAAAAAAGAAAAGAAAGAGGAGTTAAAGTAGCTCACGACTTGTTTTATTTTTTGAAAGTAGCTCTCATCCTAAAAAAGGTTGGAGACCCCTGGTGTAAAGCAACTTAACCCACGAGATGAATTCTGTTCCAAATAAAAAAAATTCTAGAACTTTATACAAGTAGGACCATTCCACACAGTCAAAGGCCTTTTCCGCATCCAAACTTAGGATAAACAAATCCCCTTCCAGCTGTCTGGTAGAGTACATAATATTGAAGAGGCGTCTGAGGTTATGAAATGAATGTCTGTTTGGAATGAACCAGTTTGGTCAGGGTGTACCAGTTTAGCCATATGTGACCTGCTCCATCGAAATCAGTCGCATTTACACATTTTGAGTTGTATACACTGTTGGAAAGAGGAGATCCCTAGTTTTCTAATGATATCAGGATTGTTGTTGTACTCCAAATATTAAGCAAAATATGTCACATTATATAATGACTATCACCGAGTTATCATTTTGAGAAAAAGGCCTTTAAAGTTTCCTCTTCTCTGGAATCCATCGATCTGATTGATTATTAGCGGAGCAAATGATCAAAATACTACGGAGGGAAGATATTTTGGTTTGGATTACTGGTCTGGGGGAAGCTTGCGAGTGTGTGTGTATATTGGTGGAGCTCTTTGGCACAGGCTATGATAAACATACAATATATACAACAACCTTTCATTGGTTCTATCTCATCAGAGTACCTAGTGCTTGTACTGTGTCTACCGGCAACTATTCTTCAATTCATGTGAATAAGAGCGCTTACTGCTGCAGAACATCCACAGAGAGGTGATCGTGAGTCAGCAAACATTGTCTATCCCCGTCATAACTTTAGCTCTTCTTGTTCTATCCACAGTTTTTCTCATCCCCTTGGATACATTCGGTGTGGTGACAGTTTAGAGAGTCCCTAATCCATAGGGCTCTGAGCTTTTCATGATTTATGCAATATCGTCAGCGCTGCATGTCAAAGTGCCAATTTGTAGAGAACATCAAGGGGACTGCGTTCGCTCATAAACTAGAACAGTGGTTCCCAAACGGTGTGCCGTGAGGCAAGTTCGGGTGTGCCGTGGGATTTTGTGACAACCATACCTTATTATTACAACTACACAAAAATAATATTTTTTTTATTTACTATAATATCAGTACTTTGTAGGTTGATATGTACGTAATCTGCGCGACTTGCGCGTCCACATCTCCACGTGCAGTGCTGCATAAACATGGCTGAGTCAGCGATAACTTTCGAGGGGTGCAGGTATGCCCATTACTTTGAGTTCGTCCGAAGAATAGACAGGAATGTGACGGTGAGGTGCAAACTGTGTCCAGGCCAGAAGCTGGTGTTTCCACTGCTGGAAACACCACGTCAAACCTCAACAAGCACCTGCAAAGAACACATGCTAAGGTGAAGCTACCGCACAGCTATTTGTTGTTTGTTTATATCACGTCGTCTGTTCTTCTTCTCTGTTTTCCGGTTGTTGCCTGTTTTGAATGACAAATACACACTACCGCCGCCTGCTGGTAAGGAGAGTTATTGCCACTCAGGCATGCGCAAGTTCGTACGTGCTCGGCGAGTAAAGTAACGAGTTACTTTATGTAGATAGTAACAAAGTAGTGTAATATATTACTTTTTTAAAAGTAATATGTAATATATTAAAAAAAAATAGTAACCCCATCTCTGGAGTTGGCGTTCTCTACTCTGATTTACATGAAGAACAACAGGAGGTCACGGGACTCACGGCTCTCTGTTGAACAGGACTTGCGAGTGGCCCTCTCCTCAGTGCCACCAAGGATAACCAAAAATAATTTCTGAAATATTTCGTTAAGAAATATTTCATGAGTAATATAGTTGTCTTTGTCACATTTTATTTGGCATTAGTAAATAATTATGCACATTTACAGATATTTTACATGATATGAGTGATAACACGTGTTATAAGGGCTATTTTGCACAATAGGTGTGCCTTGAGATTTTTACTTGTCCTTTGTCCTTGGGCACAAAAAGTTTGGGAACCACTGAACTAGAACATCGAAATGAGCCTGCTCTCAGTGTTCCACTTTGATCTATAATGCAATGTTTGGAGTGAACATAAAGGCAACAATTACGCTGATATCAAGTCATATTTGTAGAAAGATTTTTCTTCCTGGCAACTAATATTTAGGTTACAGTTTCCCACAAACTGTATTAATTAATACACTCTAGTGTTGTAAAGAAAATAACTATAGCTGTACATTTTATGAAGAATGAAAGTAAGCTTTTATAATCAGTTTTGAAAAGCATTAAAGTTTTTTGAAGCATTATGTACACCCCTTATTTTTGCAAAGTTGTTGAAGTTATTCTAAAAACGTTTCTTGACTAAATAATGTCTTTATTAAAAGGGTGTTTCTATGTATCCTTAGAAAGAATGAGCAAGCATTCTGCGTTAAATGTGTTCATACTGTTTGAAATAATGACTGTCGGCAGTGTAAACATCTTTGTTATATCTTTTGTAAAATTGATGTGTGTGATCTGCAGATTGGTGGCCATTGAGAGTTTGTTTCTGTAGTTTTACAAAAACTTTACAGATTTTACATATTTGGCACTGGTTTTAAATATGCAAAGGCCTCTAATTTCGTTGTGATGGCAGCATTTATTTGATGTGTCCCCATTTCCCATGGTAATATGGCTAATGTGTTTATTTATTATTTGTGGGGAAATAAAAACGTGTGTTATTTATCTTTTTTTTCAAGATTTAAATGAAGCTCAGCGCAAGTTCTTTCAGGAAGACTGGGTGTATATACATTCATTCCGCAGCTGCATATAATCAGCTCATCACAGGCGTTCTCTTTAACCTATTACATTTCACCTCATTCTCCAGCAGCCAATCACCGTGCTGCAGCCAAACTATAAAATGGTTCTCCTCTCTCCTGCAGTCAGCTGTGATTTCAGGTGTTCATGCACCTTATCATATGGCATGTGTCAATAAATGTTCAAACTAAATGAATTCTCTCCTGATTGAAACATCATGTGTTGAAATAAACAACTGCAGTTCAAAATAAAAAGTGAATTACCTAATATTTTTGTTGTGGAATCAATTAATTTCTTTCTTTAAAGGCAAAAACATGAAAAAGCTAAGAAAAAAAACAATTGAATACAATATATTTGGAGCAACTTAATTTATAAATGGTTGTCATTTTAAAAACGTGTGTTCACAATGATGGTAATTAAGTACATACAACTTAAAATTCCTTTTAATTCATGTGGTAAAACTAGTCGGAACAACTTAATCTTTTGAGTAATCAACTTCAAAACTTGTGTTTATAATACCAATTATTAAGTAAGTGGTAATTAAAAACAACTCTGATTGTAGAGGAAAAGCATTCTCCCTTAACTCAAATAACTTTGTTGCTTTAAGACAATTTCATGAGAAGTTGTCTTAACTCAATAAACATCGATGCAAACTGTTGCGTTGATTTTCTTTGTTGAGCCAAGGCATTTGTTTTTAGAGTGCACCATCTTGCTTGTCATAACTTGGAGCCTATATTACCCACAATACAACTTGACCATAATGTAATACCAGCAGAGATGAGCAGCAGCTACAAAGGGCTCTCTGCTTTCTGACTCCACTCCTTGAAATTGGTATACAAAATTGTAGTCTTCAGCCGACCCAATTGAAGCCAAATCCCCAGGAAGTGTGCTGGGCATTGACGCACATTTTCGTATTGGTGGTGTCAGTATGTGTCCTCCTTTTGACCGAAAAAGACTTTCCCTATTGACTTACATTCAGAAATTGATGTCTGTAAATCAGCCTATAATTATTACTAAGGTATATTTGTGTCCAATCAGCCACTTTTGAAGTAGATGTCACCGGTAGACTAGTACTGATGCTTTTCTCTCCCTCCTCTGTGTCTGTGTCTCCCTCACAGAGGCTAATGTGTGCTGGGTGGTATCTAAGGGTTACATATTTGGCCTCCTGCGGCTTTACGAGGACTGGCACAGCAACGGAGCTCAACATGATGCCATTCCTATCCGCCACTCCCTGCTGCGCTGCCTCCATAAGGTCACCAACAGTACTGCAGGCAGACAAGCTTTCATGTTGCATGGAGGCATCAGAGTGCTCTACGAATCTACACAGGTAAAGTTCAAAGTCTTATAGTATATTTATTTTGAGTCTGTGATGCTGGGATATATCGGGGGGTTATTGTAACCCTAGTTCTATAAGCACAGGCGGAGCCCTCTACTGGGTACTACTCTCATCAATGATACGCGAGTGTTCACACACTGAAGTTGTATAAACGTAGCCGGCCAATCAGGGCGAGCCTACCTGAATGCGCGCGCATATAAGGCAGCTTCACCTCCTGACTGTCATCCTACACCCTCTTCAGCGAGTGGCATAGGAAAGACAGGGCCCCTAGGTAGAGGACTCCGCCTGTGCTTATAGAACTAGGGTTACAATACGTAACCCCCCGTTCTATCTCACACCGGCTCCGCCTTCTACTGGACTCTATGGGTACAGTGGGTGGAGCCCCGATGGATAAACGCCCTGTCGCCCTACAACATCGACCCACCACACTGCCCCTGACCGGCCTTTGGTTAACAGCCACCTCACCCCAACTTCCTATCATCCGGTTGTGACCGTGGAGAAGTCGGGGCCGCAGCTTACTTGGCTGGGTAGAGCCTAATTGGTCTGAATAAGCCCATAGCTCCACCCTGCAGGTGCCAGCGCAAGTGACTATACACTGCGCACTACGTTTCCCAGGTCCCTAAGGAGCATGGGGAGAATGTAAGTGCACCATGTCCCCCACACTCACACATGCTTACCTCATGTAGAGTGTGCATGGACCGTAGTGGGGAAGGCTCCACAGCCCTGTATGGGGCTTGCTGCGCACCACGTTTCCCAGGTCCCTAAGGAGCATGGGACAACGTAAGTGCATTATGTCCAAGGGGGTCAGATACAGCTTACTGACCCACAGCCCTCCTCCTTTCACCAGTCCTGTGTTGCCCCAGCAAGCACCGATGATGAAAAAGGAGCCAGACATGTCTAAGAGATACTGACCTCATGAACGGGCCTGGCATAGACCAAGACGCCGCCATGCATAGGTGGATGACTAAAGCCGTCTAGCTGTATAACCCTCAACCTGGAAGAACTCCTTATGTTCTTGGGAACAGAGGAGGGGTTTGGTCTGAGTGTCGCCCTGCTACGGTGACCACGAACCAGAAGGCAACTCGGGGCACTGATAGAGCGGTCAGTTCGCATACTGTCTTGGCAGAAGTCAAAGCAAGCAGCAAAGCTGTTTCTTTTTGCTTCTCTCTCTCTCTTAATGATAGCGCCTACAGGGAGGAGAGTTCCCATTGCGGGGTGGAGACATGCACCACTGGGCGCTGTCTTCTAATCCCCTACAAAAAACGCTTCATAAGCGGTTGGCTAAAGACTGGTCTGCCGCTAAATCCCGCATGACAGGACGAGATGGCTGCTACATACACCTTGACTGTGGCATGAGCAAGCCTCTTGTCCGCCAGTAGCTATAGCTAGGATAGAATAGAGCCCAATGTACCGGACAGAGGCTCTAGACTCCCTTCCTCCCACCACGTCTGTCTGTCCTCTAACACAGTGGCACGTAGCCTGCCCTCCTTCCCGGCGTACTCCTCGCTCTTGATGGGGGTGTACCCCTCGCTCTTGATGGGGGCTGCATTGAGCAAAATCCCCAGATAACCCTTGTCAATTAACTACGGGGGGTCCCTCAGGGCTCTGTTCTTGGTCCCCTCCTCTTCTCCTTGTACACAAACTCGCTCGGATCAGTCATTAGCCCGCATGGTTTTTCTTACCACTGCTACGCTGACAACACCCAATTAATTCTGTCCTTCTCCCCGCCTCAGAGGACCCAGGTCGTCGCACGCATTCTGCTTGTCTAGCTGACACTCTCTCAGTGGATGTCTGCTCACCACCCTCAAGCTCAACCTTGACAAGACTGAGCTGCTCTTCTCCCGGGAAAAGATTGTCCAACTCTTGACCTGACAATCAACATCGGCACCTCAGTTGTTTCCCCGACTCAGACTGCAAGGAATCTGGGTGTGACCCTAGATAACAACCTGTCCTTCACTGCAAACATCGCTGCTACAACCCGCTGCTGCAGATACACGCTTTACAACATCAGGAAGATACGTCCCCAGCTGACTCAGAAAGCAACTCAGGTTCTGGTCCAGGCTCTCGTCATCTCACGCCTAGACTACTGCAATCCCTCCTGGCTGGTCTACCTGCATGTGCCATCCGACCTCTGCAGCTCATCCAGAATGCAGCGGCTCGTCTGGTTTTCAACCTTCCTAAATTCTCCCACACCACTCCGCTCCTCCGCTCCCTTCACTGGCTTCCGGTAACTGCTAGAATCACTTCAAGACACTGGTACTTGCTTACCGTGCTGCGAATGGATCTGGCCCTTCTACATCCAGGACATGGTTAAACCGTACACCCCAGCGGTGCATACGCTCTGCATCAGCCAAACGACTCGTTGCGCCCTCGCTGCGAGGGGGACCAAGTTCCTATCGGCGAAAACACGTGGGTTTGCTATCCTGGCTCCAAGATGGTGGAATGAGTCCCCATTGACATCAGGACGGCAGATAGCTTGCACATCTTCCGGCGCAAACTGAAAAACTCATCTCTTCGACTCCACTTCGAGCGTTAGAATGATTAACGAAGCACTTTTATACCAATAACCCCACCTGCTGGTCAGGTATGGGACTGCTCTTCTTTCAATTGACCGCAAACCCCCAACTTGGTTAGGTGTAAGATCAATTGGGCTGTGTGGAACATCTGCCCATTCCCTGGACCTGGCCATGACTATGAGGTCGTTGAGATCAAATAAAACCCTCATGCCATGGTCGCAAAGCGGCTGAAGCGCTGTGGTCACACATTTGCTGAACGTGCTTGGGGACAGGGAGTAGCCGAACGGTAGTGTGTTGTACTCATAGGCTATCCCCTGGTAGGCAAAACGCAAATACTTCCTGTGTTTTGGCTTTCTAGCAATTTCGACATGAAAGTAAGCGTCCCTCAGGTCGTTGGTTTGTGAACTAATCGCCCGGCTGTATCAGTTCCAGTAACTGTAGGAATCCCAACCACTTCGTCCTGTAACAGGCTGTGGTGGATCCCGCCCTTACTGCCTGGATAGTCTGTATAACTTTGTCAGACAGTCCACCCTTTCTCAGCCTGTCCCTCTCAGGAGCCAAACCTGGAGAGGTTGACCCAGAGTGGGTAATGCCCCTAATGCACCCGCTTCCTGAGACAGTGCCCCCGGAACTGAGGAACTGTCCAGGGCTGGCCCACCATCATCTGTGTCACTTCTGTGTACCACGGCGCCGAGCGGCGACCTGGGGCTACCAGAATGACCGACAACTGTTCTCGTCTCACCTCCAGGAGTGGGGCATGAGACGCAGCAGTGGAAAGTTAAAGAGCATGTCAATAGGATAGAATAGAGCCCAATGTACTGGACAGAGGCTCTAGACTCCCTTCCCCGCACCAACGTTGGAATCCCCACACTTCGTCCTGTAACACGCTGTGGTGGATTCCACTCTTGCTGCCTGGATAGTCTGTATAACATTGTCAGACAGTGCACCCCTTCTCAGCCTGTACCTCTCCGGAGCCAAGCCTGAAGAGGTTGGCCCAGAGTGGGTAACGCCCCTATTGCACCTGCGGTGGAAAGGCGTAGAGCAGCTATCTTGGCCATGGCTCTTGTGCAAACGTGTCCACCCCAAGGGTGGATTGTCCTGCCGAGCCAGGGAGAACCACCATTCGTCTGGCAGGGGCCCGCCTCTTGACATGAGGCCGGCCCCCTGTTCTCCAGTCCCGGAATGTAGGGGGCCTTTAGAGATAAAAACATTCTTTGAGGCCCACAACCACAGGTTCTCCGCTAAGCTCAACAAGGTGGCAGAGCTGACTCCGTCCCGCCACTGTGGTGCGGTTGTCGCTCCTCACCAGCACATGTTTTCCCTGTAGTAAGGGTTTGAAGTTCTGTAGGACCAGTACTACTGCCCGTAGCTCTAGAACAGTGCTTCTCAAAGTGTGGTCCGCGGACCACTGGTGGTCCGTGAGCGCGCCCTAGTGGTCCGTGAGTATATTGTTAACATTTGACATTTGAAATAAATTAATTAATTTGAGCTTTCCGCACTCTCGCGGGAATATCTCCGCAATGGAGCGAGCTTAAGTTTCACTTTTGATTGCATGATATAGCCCCGCGCAACACCTTCATCACACATGTTGCCACTTGTTTGTACAATTTTCAGGCGATTTGTAATCTGTTCTAGAAAAACGATGTGATTTTGGATATTTGTGGAGTTAGGTGGTCCGCGAGTGTTTTTTTATTGGTTAAGTGGTCCTTGGTATGAAAAAGTTTGAGAAACACTGCTCTAGAAGGTTGATGTGCTGAGTTTCTGTCAGAGGCCAGCCACCACCTATAGCTCTCTCTAGGCAGGTCCTCCCCATCCTGTCACGGATGCATCTGTGAACACCGTGATGTAGGAGGTCACCCGCCCCAGTGGAGTTCTCCTCCGCAGATGCTTTGGGGACCCCCAGTATCAGAGGTTGCCCTCCACTGAGAGGGGGATGGTCACCAGACGTCGTTTTTGCCTCTTGGGATCTAAACGAAGGCTGGCAAACCACCTCTGCAGGCGACGCATATGCAGTAACCCCGCGGTACCACGAGGTGAGCAGCCGCCATGAGACCCAGAGTCTGCATAAAGGTCAAAGCTGTCACCGTTGCCCCCTGTCGCAGCCTGCAAACTGCATGAAGCAGGGATGCCTGTCTGCTCTCTGACAGGGTGGCACGTAGTCTGCCTGCATCGAGCAAAATCCCCAGATACTCCACCTGCTGGTGAGGTATGGGACTGCTCTTCTTCCAATTGACCGCAAATGCCAACTTGGTTAGGTGTAGGATCAATTGGGCTGTGTGAAACATTGCCCATTCCCTGGACCTGGCCATGACTATGAGGTTGTTGAGATAAAATAAAACCCTCATGCCATGGTCGCGAAGCGGCTGAAGCGCAATCAGCAAGACGCCCAACACACCCATGTTATTTGCAGCCACCCTGTCACGCGGCAACGGGGCAGAGGTTCTCTGCCCAGCCTGCTGCCTGTGGGAGCAGATGGGCTGCCAGGCTCTCATCAAGGGGGGGCACGCCGGAACACGCTGTGTCTGTGCGGCCCTGCACCCTGATGCTCCCCACCATACCAGCCACTGGAGCCTTCGCCACAACGCCTCCAAACACTGCCACATATCTGGCAACAGGGGCGAAACCAAGGCTGGCTGCGCCGGGCGGACCGGGCCGTAGAACCCCTGGCGGAGGCGGCTCACCGGTTTAGGCGGCAGTGGTTGGGGAGCAGTAGCCCTAAACGCTCCTCCGCCATGGTCATCACCAGGGGAAAGTGAATGGCACCGCCTCGGCCATATCCTGGTCCCCCAAACACTCGAAGCAGAGATGGTGGGGATCGGCGCCCGCTATTAAGCCAGGGCACGAAGGACAGGCCCGAGTCTCTAGAAGTGGCGACTCCATGAAGGTATGATAACTTCTTTCTTCTTCTTTCAAACGTTTTACTTTTCTCTGTCAGGTGTTGTCCTGTTAGCTGAAGAGAAAATGATGACAGTCAGGAGGTGTAGCTGCCTTATATGCGCGTGCAGGCCCTGATTGGCCGGCTACATTTATACAACTTCACTGTGTGAACGCTCGCGTATCATTGATGAAAGTAGTACCCATAGTGTCCAGTAGAGGGCGGAGCCTGTGTGAGATAGAACATGTGGTCTTTTTAAAATCCATCAGACAATAATACTCTTATTTTTGACTTTACTGTTCCACAATGCAACACACAACGGACAGAGAGCTTTTAAAGCTGGACAACCACATCAAATTTGTAAAGTGTAGTTAGATCCACATGCAATTCCAAAAGTATGGAAGTCAGCTTATGTCTTGCCTTTGCTAAAAGGAGGGGAGGCAACTATTTTAAATAACTATAGGCCAATCTCTAAATTGTCAGTTCTGGCGAAGGTGCTCGAACGCCTAGTGAGTGAACAAGTAAAGGAGTTTTTATGTAAAAATGATATCCTGTCTAAACATCAGTCAGGCTTCAGAAAGCAACATAGCACCTTCATTGCGACAATGAAAGTGGTGAATGACATTACGAGTATTTTAGATAATAAGCAGAGTTGTGCAGCTCTATTTATTGACCTTTCCAAAGCGTTTGATACCGTCGATCATCGCATCTTAAAGCAGAGGCTACTCAGTATTGGCATATCCAGCCATGCAGTGGGGTGGTTTGTGAACTCTCTGAAAGGTCCCAATGTGTTCACTTTGATAGGCTGTCTTCTGAGTGGTTAAACATTGCTAATGGTGTTCCTCAAGGTTCTGTTTTAGGTCCACTCTTATTCTCCATATATATCAACAGTTTAGGTGAAAATGTGGATGAAGCTACTTTACATTTTTATGCGGACGATACCGTGATGTACTGTGCAGGTCCCTCCATTAGGCGCATTCACACTGCGGTACTTTTCCCACAAAGGTTCATGTGAACTTAGTTCATGTGAACTCTTTAGTTCGCATGAACTAAGTACAGATCGTGTTCACACTGGAAAAAGTCCCTGGGGGTGGATTAGGCAAATGAAGCCGCTGACGTCACTTGGGTTTACTGGCAGGCCGCAAACCACTTCACGGCGTATACTGCCGCCCAAAGTCCCCGGCTGGAAGTCCCCGGAGTTGGGGACTGGCTTCAGTAGAAGCTGCTGGGACTCCCAGCAGCTTCTACTGAAGCCTTCCGAGTAAATCGCCAGAACGCCGACACCTCCTCATCTCCACCACTCCCATGTTTTATTTTGTGTTGCCATAAATTAGTCTCTCTGCGTTTCTGCGCTGGGCTAATGCTAATGCTAATAATGCTAATGCGAGGATAATAAAATGGCGGCTTCACAAAACTTTTTGGTAGTTTTACGGGGCGTGGTTTGTAATCCGCCCAGCCAATCAGAAATATAGCTCTTTTCTCACAAGAGAGCCGCTCGAAAGTCCCTGCTCTATAGCAGGGACTTTCGAGGGGGTAAAAAGGTTCACATTAACTAATTTTAGTACCGGCTCTTTTTGGTGTGAACGCGATATAAGAGTTCACATGAACTAAGTTCACATGAACCTTTGTGGGAAAAGTACCGCAGTGTGAATGCGCCTATTAAGGAGGCTGGTGTTAAATTACAGGCTGTTTTTAACATTATTCAGACTCAGCTTGCTGAATTTAAGCTTATTTTAAATGTTGATAAAACCAAGGTAATGCTATTTTCAAAAGCTAAAAATACACCAGAGCCTGTTTTGGATATTGTTACTATGCAAGGACAAGTACTTGAAGTGGTTACCTGTTATAAATACCTAGGTATCTGGCTTGATGATTGTCTTACTTTTAAACTTCATGTCAATAACCTGCTTAAAAAGCTGAGGGTTAGACTAGGTTTCTTTTTCAGAAACAAGTCCTGTTTCTCTTTTGAAGCCAGGAAAAGGCTAGTCACTGTGACCTTTTTACCTGTGCTGGACTATGGTGATTTGTTGTATATGAATGCACCTGCCTATTGCCTGAACAAGTTAGATGCCGCCTATCACAGCGCACTGAGATTTGTCACAAATTGTAAAGCACTTACTCATCACTGTACCCTGTATGCCAAGGCAGGTTTGCCATCACTTACTGTAAAGAGGCTCAGTCATTGGTACACGTTTATTTATAAAGCTTTGTTGGGTAAACTCCCGTATTATATCTGCTCTCTGATAACACAGAGAGTTGCAAGCAGCTATTGTCTGAGATCGCATGATGTAGTATTGTTAGATGTGCCAAGAGCAAGGACTGTCTTAGGTAAGACAGCTTTTATGTGCGCAGCTCCACTTGCTTGGAACAGTCTTCAGCAAGAATTGAAACTCGGCATGTTTTTAAAGCTAGGCTAAATGGAATGCTCGTTGATACTATGGGCACTTGTAAATGTCTATAACTATGTAAATGTATCCTGTAAATATTATGTATAATGTCCTTTATTGTTTTATGTTTCATGTGGAACCTATATGCTGCAGGTCTCCCTTGAAAAAGAGATCTATGATCTCAATGGGACCAATCTGGTTAAATAAAGGTTTGAAATGAAATGAAATTAGATCTCACAGCACAAATGCATGCAGTTTTTTGCTGTTAGAACATTCCATTGACTTTCTATAAATCACTATATTACCTGAGTTTTCATCCGTGTTTGCTTCTCTGCAGACATGTTTGCTGGGTAAAGGTCTAGAGTCTCTGGTGGAGCCGTCTTTGCAGCTCATGAGGAAGTGTCTTCCTACAACTCCTCTACCACTGACTTCAGATCAGTCTGCATACACCTTCCCCCTGCCTGGGAGAGCACACACTGTGCCTGACATAGAACCAGAAGCAGGTACAGCGTCACTATGAGAGCAGCTACTCACATAATTTGTGGATTTGTAAAATAACGACAAAAAACATAATAAATATAATGTTGGATGCAGTATTTTCATTTTCGAATAGTTGTAGGTAATATTGCTAAAGCTAAACCTTTTTTATTTGTATTTGTACTAACATGTATTTTAATGTAGTGTTGTCCATATTCCTAGTGGCACACAGTGGAACAATGATTTTACATTTTCAAGACATCTTTCCCCAGCTTGAAATTATTCTATGTCTTTGGCTTTGATTCTTACCGTCTGAAATCCCTTTTTCAAATTGGTGGTTATGTAATGTTACTGGTGTAAATGTAAAAACTGTCAAATGTAAAACATGTCTACATAATTGCCTCCAAACAGAGCAGCAATACATGTCCTTCGTAAGTTTGACAGTTTTACTGAAACCAGCCGCTTGGCTGCACATGATTGGTTGGAAAAAGTAAATCAATAAAACAACCAATCAGAGCCATATAACGTAAAACCGAACGCTGACATTGGCTGCTCTGTCCCCTATTGTATCCAGATATGAGAAGTGAAGCGAGTGATGATGATGAGGAGGCTGAAGATAACCCAAAGCCAGACTATGTAAGTGACAATTAATGTAGCAGAATTGGTCTGAATGACAGAAAAAACACATTCTGATAAGATTTTACATAACATAAATACTGCATTAAATCACACTCCTGAAACATAGTTGAAGTGTGTTAATTCTTGTTTCCAAACCATATGACTTTCACCCAGATTGTGTGTCTTCATGCACCCAAAATGTGTTTGGTAACTGCTGGGAAAGTACTGCAGTAAATGAGGTGTCCCCTAAAGATCAATAAAATACTAATTTCTGAGAGCCTTACCAAGGAGACTAGAAACAAGGGGATTCAAAAGTTTAATGCAAAAAAAACAACTGCATGATGTTCACAACCTCTTATAAACTCATAGTCAAAAGTCAAATAGAAAATGCAAACAAGTCCGCTGATTTTCCTGAGGCCAAAAGAAACACAACTAAAATGGTGCTGGGGTTATTTTGAGTACACTGAGATATGCATGATTTACTCATCTGTAATATAAGATTTACATAAATGACTGTATCCACTTTACTAAAGGAGTAACCAGTTTTTTGTAAACAAAGTTTTGGCGAACAGTCCAAATACATTTTAGCCTGTAGATTTGACTAATGTTAAACGTCATTAAAGCAAGTCATTACATAAATAAATGCCCTGCTTTCTAGGCAACGTTAGCTAGCTAACGCGTTACCAACTTGACTCAATAACACTGACAAAAGCATTTGTTTAATTGTACACCCGACAGGCACACAGCAACCCCCAGGACACAAAATATATTTTTGCTAAATGCCAAATTAAGGCCAAATATCTATTCCAGTGTTTTCCCTACTGTATATTAACTAGTGGCAGACCGCCATTAAATCCTGCGGATAGGGTTGTCAACTTCCAGAAATGGAAAAACGGGACACAGGCATGTGTCCCCCGCGCGCGTGCGTGCGAAGATTTTCGGGTTTCTGGCGGATTTAGTTACTTTTTTTTGTTACTTTATTTCGGTTTTAGGGTTAGGGTTATGTTATTTAATTATTTTGGGGGAGCCAGCCCCCTAGGGTTCGAGGGGTCAAACCCCCCCAAAACCCTCAAAATGCATAGAAAACTATGCATACCTATAACACAATACAAACACAATGGTCTTACATCTGCATTAGGCTACTACATCACATTGTACATCAGCATGTTCAAATCGGATAGGTGGGCACTAGGGACATCTGGGCACCTCTATGTACAATTGGCTATTTTGTCCAAAATGTTAAAAAATAAATATTTGAAAAATGGTATTAAGTAATGCAAAGTATACATGATGTGAACATGCATTATTATAACATCATTATTAGACTTAATGTTATCCTTCAACCAACCATTTTCCCAGCATTTTCCCATCAATCAGCTGACTGACTCTCTCTCACACACACACACACACACACACACACACACACACACACACACACACACACACACACACACACACACACACACACACACACACACACACACACACACACACACACACACACACACACACACACACCACCACACACACACACACACACACACCACGCGCAGAAGACCCGAGACAGATCTCCACTCACGGGCTTTACCCAACTGTGTTTTTCTTCCACTGTTTGTTGTAAGACACAAGTATTTTCTTTTTAGAAGGGCCAGGACCACATCCTCTCTCTCTTCTCCTCTTTCATTATCACCTCCTCCACCGGCAGCGCTCATTTTCCCACACGACTGAACAGGCTGACATGCCACACAAACAGTGATGCCGCGCCCGCGGCCCACCGGAGAAAATCTCACACACACACGTGCGAGCATTGTGCCTGCCCTGTCAACTGAGCGGTCCTAGTGCCCTTCGGAATACAGCACACAAACACACAGGCACGCAGCCAGACACACTGCATTGCGCGCAAACAGAAAAAAAAAAATATTTTTTCCTTTACACGGGAATCCGGGACAAACAAAGTCCCGTACGGGACACGCCCCTTTTGGCTCAAATACGGGACGTCCCGGCTAATACGGGACGGTTGGCAACCCTACCTGCGGAGCACTGTGGTGAGTCCATTAATGAGACAAGTGTCTGTAGTTGGTTCACAAGTCTGTAATAACCATAAAGTCTGAGGTAATAACAACAGAAGAGTAGGGTATGTTATCTAAAGTCAGTTTATCAAGTGAAGTGAAAATAACGCTGTCAGTAGCCTTCACGATATGAACAGCTTGGTAAAGCACGTTACGCTAACGCAGTGGTTCTCACACTTTTTCTGTCAGGCCCCCCCTTTGGAGAAAAAAAAAAGTCGGGCCCCCCCCAACACAAATAGTCAGGCTCAGTGGCGGCACCAGATATTTATTTTGGGGTGCTGTGGGGTAGCTTGACGTTTCATAGAGGGTGCTCAAACATTTAGGGTTTACCATTACGGCCCGTCTACACAGCGGCGTGTGTTGAAGCTTGCCGGCGGACGTGTCTGAAACTCGACCAACAACCAATCACATGAATCTCCCGCCCCTGACACACAAGCAGCGGTTTGATTGGCTAGAGCTTGTACTGGCATATGATTCGATTGGCTGACGCTTCTGCCGAGGCTTCAAAAGTTGAACATTGCTCAACTTTTGCAGCGCGCCACGTAGGGTTGGGTACCGAGAACCGGTTCCGGTTCGGAACCGGTTCCAACATTTCGATTCCAACGGCATCATTTAGACATGTGAATTTCGGTTCCGCTTTTCGATGCCTGAGGAAATGTTTCTCGCCGCTCTCCGTAGCCTACTGTATGACTGCGGCGGGGCGGGAAATGTAGCGTTGTACCCATAGATATATATAAACCATGATATAAACACGTGTTTATATCATAGGTTTATATATATCTATGGTTGTACCCTATGGTTGTACCTACACTTCCTACAGCTACAGCGTAACCTGAGACCAGGGCCGGCCCGTCGCACTGGCGATGTTCGCCTAGGGCGCCAGATCTGTGGAGGCGCTGCGCTGCGCTGACAGCTCTGGGAGGGAAAAATGTTTTGACCGTTGGTGCTCATCCTAATTTTCGGCCTTGATGTAACAACATTCATAATTAAGTAAATGTAACACCCTTTTCATCCCGGTTAAACTTTTCATTTGCCCTGTACGATGGGCGCTGTAAGTGATGAAAATGGGGGATGTTGGCTTATCTGGCGCCCGCAGCTCACAGCCAAAGTGCGAGTGAGCGAGGGAGCGAGCGAGGGAGAAAGGGACCAGTACGCGCTGTTGTTATTAGCATCTGGTGCTAGCTGCTCTAACGGATATTAGAAGAAGATATTTCTACAATGATGTGGAGGGAGAGTCCTCTCCAGTCAGACTGAGGCTGATAACTACAGCTCAGTGAGGTAAAGGACTGAGTGTTTAGATAGTTCACTTTAGTCTAAGTTATCTCAGTGGGTCTCAAACGTTTTGATCACAATTTATGTAAACACATATTTCCAAGGCACTCCTTTATAATTATTGGGATAAAACAGGTTTGAAATCATTCCAATGTATACTATAGGACAGTAAACCAGACATATCGTTTTAAACTGGAGAGATAAAAAAATATGCATAAATAAAATAGTAAAATAAGATATGAATGAACAACAAAAATAAAATACGTTACATGTATTTGTTATTTGCTATGGTAGGTTACTGGTTATGTTCACATACTTATTTGATTATTAAAATGTAAACCGATCTTTTTCATATGGGTGTTTAGAGTTGTACCCCCTAGATCTAGTCTCTAGTAATTCTGCTTAAAGTGCACCAGATTGAAGCATTTTACTTTAAAATGTTCAAACATTTCTTCCCGGTATCCCTGAGAAGGCAGATATGCTTGTTTTTCTCAACAAGAACTGTTTTTAAATGGGGGGGGGGGGGGGGTTCCTTTAAAAGTTGGACTGTTGTAGCTTCAGTGGTTCTCAGGTTACAGTTACATAGCAGTGAATATAAACAGACTGATTAATGTGAATATTACTGTAAACTAACCTGTGTAAAAGTTTCTCGAATAAATAAAAAAATGTTGGTGGAAGAAGCATGTATCATTTTTTTACCCTGCCCCTCAAAGAATCGGAATTGAGAACCGTTAAGAACCGGAATCGAATAGTAGAATCGGAATCGGAATCGGAATCAGAATTGTGGAAATTCAAACAATACCCAACCCTAGCGCCACGCCAGCAATGCTCCGCGTCGATTCCCGCAATGCAGTTCGGCGAAAAGTGACGTCACCCCATTCAAAGTGAATGGTGAAGCGTCAACGCACGCCGCTGTGTGGACGGGCCGTTAATGTACTGGTCGCTCAGTGGAATTTTCTACTGCAACATTCCCCACGCAAATACAAAGTATGACAGTTACAATGAAGGCTCGAGGCATATAGGTGTAAGCAGGGGTAAAGTGCTATTTTTATAGGTGGTGTGTGGACCTCACATAGGGGGTCCGGGGGCAAGCTCCCCCGGGAAGATTAATTTTTAAATATTGAAGTTAAAAGCATCAATCAATCTCGTGCGAAATTAAGAGATCTATGGATACATCTCTCAACACCTATATGAAACAGAACTGTAAACAGATTTACTTTTTCTTTATGGATATTTTACAAATCACCCTTTTAAACTTTATTCTTTTTTTACTGTCATATAGTATATCATACCTGTTTTTCATTTATTCTTTTATTTTTTTATAACTATAATGATCATATAAACGTGTAAATTGTTTACATTAATGGTGACCAAAACGTTTGAGACCCACTGAGATAACTTAGACTAAAGTTAACTATCTAAACACTCAGAGAGTCCTTTAGTTCACTGAGCCTCTCAGTCTGACAGGAGAGAGCTCTCCTCCAGCTTGTTGTGGAAAAAACTCCTTATATCCGTTAGCGTAGCTCGCTAGCACCAGAAGCTAACAACTATGATCTCCGGTACCGGTGCGCTCTCTCGCTCGCGCACGCAAACAAAATGGCTCATTCCACACACACAGAGACCCAGACGTAATAGCACTGTATCATATTATTTTCTAATCAATAATTTTTCAAATTA